AATTTAGACAACTCTTTTTTGAAGGCTACGTATCCGATACCAAAAGTACTATTGTACCACGTCATCTATGGAATACTATTAGTGGTAGTTCATTATTGGTAAATACTGAATATAACATATTACTAACGATTAATGTACATGGTATGAGCCCCTAAGAGAAATTCTGACATGAACATTTACACCTAAAATGTATCGAAAGAGCTGGAGAACAAATCGTATAGTTCACAGTTGCCCCATAATTGCAAATGCTCTAAAACCTTCATAAAATCATGTTAGAGTATATTGGTAAATATGAAGTTTCTGATCTGAATATGTGAAGTTGGCACTCAAAAACGCTCAATAAGAGCTAGTTTAGCGTCCTGGACATCGATAACTGCAAATTAAAATATATTAGGTGTAGTAAAAAGTAATCCATTATATTTTGAAATCCTGCTTTCCATTATTTGATCGATTTTTTCTATAATTGATCTTCCAGAGTGTGGAGCATCTTTGACATCGAAATTACCGGAACGGAATCGACGAAATCAAAATTGTGCATGATTGAATGTACAGTAGCAGGACCATAAATCTTATTTACATTATCAGGCGCCTGGCTTGCGTTTTCGCCCTTATCGAAGAAAAACGGTAAAATATAGCTATTTTCTCTTTGCTAGTGTCCATCTTTGACCTGCGCTCAAACAAAACTGAATCAACTAATCACAAAACTGTCAAAAAAGTTTTCTTAGTACGAAATCTCATCTTTTTAACGCCACTTAGGTGAACTCGATCGGACTTAAACATCTCGCGTTGTTACAGATAAATAACGTCATCTATTGGAAAAATAATGGATTTCATTTTACTACACCTAATATTAGGAAGCATTGGCTAATGATAACTTTGCCTCCCTTTCTTAAATCGCTTTAATGTTGTCGAAATCTTTATTTTTCTCATATCGAATTTCATAGCATTCAAAGGTTCCATTTGACGGTTAGGTTACGTATTAAGGCAGAAAGCATAAGTGCAGATGCGAAAGCTTTCGAAAAAGAGTTTCATGAACTGAAATTCTGAGTAAAATAGAGCAATGTAAAGCAAGCAAAGCTCGCCAGGACATAAAGTTCGAACTTAAATCTTGACTTTACTTTTAAAACTAAGTCGATTTAAGAAGCTCGGGGGATTTCAATGAAGATTTTTTCAAAAATCTCGAACTAATTATTTCTTCAGTCGCTCTTCCCAACATAATTATTCAAAAAAGATTTAATTTATTGAAGAGTGTTGCATACTTGTAAATATGTACATATATCTTTACATTGTTGGGAGAAGGAGTCTGTCGACGCTATTGTTTATCCAAAAAATAGTACACACAATTGTTTTAGAGTAGGGGACATACAGGGTAAATAAGCTCTCGCCGACTGGTTTGTGTGGCGCCGGATGCTACAACAATAGCAACAAGCACACATACGCACCATTTGCTTTGCGCATTTGTAGACTCCAAGCGGTGCTTGGCTTTGTGCAGTGCCGACAACTAAGTTCAGTGGCGTAGTAACGTTGACACAATGCGGTACGGCTTCAAAGCGTCGATTGCTCGTTGTTCAGATTTAAAGCGGCCAAATACCGACGGGAAACGCTGATTTTAACATTCAAATCAATAGAATCAAGCGGCCTAAAAGCAAGGCCACTAAAAAAAATTAACAACAAAAACTAAAGAAATAAACAAGTGGAAATAATTGCGTGTGTGTCGGTCAAAAAAATTTAGTTTTGAATTTATAATTTTGCTTACACATAAGTATGTTGTTTTTGGTGGTTGGGCAGCGAACACACGATATCCGAAGTTCGCTTGACTCTAAAAATACAGTTATGTACTTGAAAGGTGACCGTTAAAGTGCTTCAAGTTTGTGGCAAGATTGCTTGCGTGTTTCGGGCTTGCAGCAAGCAAGCAGCTAGTTTAAAATCATATATTTTAACATTTTCAGTCTACCTCTTTGCGGAAGTTAGTTTCCTACTGGCGTCATTTCTAGAAATTCACCGTTAACTGCATTCATCTGTACATATGCTTACCATAGTGCGATAGCTTTTCAAATACACATGTACTTTTTGAGTTACCGGAAAAAAAGGAAATTCGATAAATTGCTATTTGAGATTTTCAAAGCTGTTCAACTTTTCATTAGTTAATTCGCTCCAACATTTATTTTTACGTTTTAGCATTTGTTAATGTATTGTTTTAACTTTTGAATGTTTTTTAACGCTTGCCTCAGCTTTTTGTGATTATTCTGCAGGTGTTTATCTAAAATGAATGTTGCTATCCTGTTTCTATGTTTATTTGCTTGTTTATATAATTAATTGTGCGTGGCGAGTAAACAGCGTGTGGGTGTAATAAATGGGCAATTAAGTTTAGAAAATCTTGTTTTGCGCACATAATAATAAAATGCCTGGAAGTTGTGTACATACATAGTACTAGAGTCTTGGTAAATCCAGAGAATTAAAAACAAAGGGTTTATGACTGAGCCAACAGAGTTGATGGTTTAAGCATCGATTATATAAATAAAATTTATTTCCTCACAATTTTCTAAAAACATTATATATTTAGACCGGCCTCTATCTAACCTTACAATATTTTTTCTGAAATCAACAAAATCTGTATTTACTTCAGCGATGACAACTCCTTTCGAGCTAACTCACTTACCGTTTGGTGTTTTCTATAGATATATACTATATATATATAGAGTCTATAGTATTTAATCAATATGAGTTTAACAAGAGCATTAACTTTTTATCCTAAGTAAATAATATTTGCAGAGTTATTAAGGCCTAGCTACGATGGCCTAGTACTTCTTAGAATAATAGTATTTTTTTTTATCTGTTTCTTAGCCTATTTTGTTTGTGATGGCTCCGAAAAGGTTATCAACATTTTCGCCTTTTCTACCGGAAATTCCGTTATATTTAAATTATTTATATTATATTTCGCTGAAAAGTTGTTGTCGTGACATGGAGATCGCGCCATAAGCAAATCTCTATTTTACAAATGATAGTAGAATTTAGTTCTCTCTGACTAAACCAGCGGATCACCAATAACATCAAGTGTTGGTAAAATCTCATATTAAACAAGTAAGGAAGGGTTAAGTTCGGATGTAACCGAACATTTTATACTCTCGCAAAGTCAAATAGTATACTCGTTTGAGATTTCTTTGTGGATTGACTGATATTTTCGGTAGAAGGTCAACTATTGGCACTGGGGTCCACATATTTAGTACTTAGGGGCTTGAACAGTTTTGGTTCGATTTAGACAATTTTTGGCCACAGGGTGGCATACTTTAATCGCATTATTCACGCAAAGTTTTATCCCGATACAGTCATTGTTGCCCGATTTGCATAGTGGAAAGTGAAAGAATCAGATGGATCCACGCCCACTGTCTAATTTTGAACGCGGTTGCTATAAAGTCATCTCATACCATCCCAGAGATAAAGTTTAATGTCTCCGGCGTATTTAGTGCTTGATTTATCGCGCTTTTAGTAGTTTTTAACAGTACCGTTATATGGGGAGTGGGCGGAGTTGCCACCCGATTTCACCCATTTTCACACTGTAGGTAGAGGTTCTAAAATAATTTGCTTCCAGTGAATTTTGTTATTATTGCATTACCGGTTTAGGAGATATGCACATTAAACTTATTAGGGGGCCCGCCGCTTAAAAAAAAATTTTAACTGCAGATGCCCCTCCCTATTGTGATCCTGTATACCAAATAAGAGTCTTGTATCTTGTTGTGGAGCTTAGTTATGGCAATTTATTTGTTTTGGAATACTGGCGTTTTGTGGGCGTGGCAGTTGTCCGATTACGCCCATCTGCAATAACAACCGTCTCACGGTATCGAGAAACATGTCTACCAAGTTTCATAGAGATATCTCAATTTTTACTCAAGTTAGAGCTTGCACGGACGGACGGACAGACGGACGGACGGACAGTCACCTGGATTTCAACTCGTCTCTTCATCCTGATCATTTATATATACATAACCCTATATCTAACTCGATTAGTTTTAGGTGATACAAACAACCGTTATTATAATATAATGTCCCATCTTTTCGGCTATACGATTAATTAATTTTGCTAAGTTGTCTTACATGATGACCGATATTTACGGTATAAGAATAACCGAAAGTTTGAAAATCTTTTGCTAGGTATATGGGCGCTAATTGAAATATTGACCGGATTCAATTAATTTTTGACACACAGACTTACTATTATCAGGAAAGAATTCTCTCCTAATTTCAATTATATACCTCACACATTGACCGATATTTTCGGTAAAAATCCAGCCATATTGTTATTGTGATTCGTTGTGCCAATTACAGTTTTGTATCTTAATTTGCGGTTTAGTTATTGCAATGTATATGTTTTCGAATAATGATTTCGATTTTGTGGGCGTGGCAGTGGTCCGATTACGTTCCATTACTTAAGTCCTCAGTTTTTTGCCAAGAAACACGTGTACCAATTTTCATTAAGATATCATCATTCATCACTCAAGTTACGGTTTCATCTTGGTCTTGGCCTGCAGGATATTTTGAAGTACCTACCTACCCTCTCTTACCTAAAGTGTAATTCCATTTATAATTATTCTGATGTGATGAGCTGAGTCGATTTTGTCATGTTCATCCGTCTGTCCGTGTGTAGGTCCGTATATACGCGTACAAGTCGCTCACTGTTTGAGATATCGATCTTTAGTTTTATAAACGTCTTATGCTGCCCAAGAAGCTGCACTATAGCGTATAGCTGTCATACAAACTGACCGATCAGTCTTAAGTCCTTGTATTGAATCTTTTTTGTTTGACAAGTTATCATCACAAAATTTGGCATATATTATTATCCAAGGCTCCGAATATATTGTTCATGAACCACTATAGTATATAGCTGCAATAGCATCTGTCCGATCAAAATCAAGATAAATATCTTTTTAAACCTTTAATGCTATTAGAAATGCACCTCTGTAGGGTATTATAGCAGCCGAAGCTAAAATTTTGTTCTTGTTTTAAAGTTTTTTTTAGTTTTAATGGAAATATTAGCTAAACCGAAAAACGGGGTTCCTATGGGGAAACTACATTACTATTTTGTTTTTATAACATTGCGTTATTAAAGCTTTGTTTTAGAAATAAAGGTCTTTTAACTTGGGTGGTTTTGAAGTTTGACTAGATAAATTCTGCCAAGCAACCGTGAATTTACATGTGTCACTGTCCCAAACATACATATCAACTTCATAAAAAAGCAAATAATATTCAAAGCAATATGATTTTTATTGTTTTTTGTATATACTTTTATATGTTCATAATTCCCACCACCCCTCTTTGCACGCCACTCATCAAATAAGCTTTATCGCCACAAACATTTCTTCGCACATTTTCCCGGTCAATCGAGCTGTGAATCGCGTCATCTGCCAATTAATAGGGTTGCACTTCATATTCTTTACCTGTTTCTATTATCTATTTTGTGTTGACATGAATTTACGAGGTGTGCAGTAATACTCGCTTATAATAAAGAATAATATTGCGGCAAAACGTTTGTGGTAAAGTGATTAATGGAAAGTGAAGAATTCAATAAATTAGAAAGATATATGTATGTATCATGCATAGATCTACATACACGTACATAAGTATATACTCGTATGTGCTTGTATGTATCTGATGACACATAACACAAATGAAGGGAAAAATATCACAAACTTTTGACAATTAATAAACGAGAAATTCAATTTTAAAAAATATATTTCAAACTAAAGAGTAAAAATTTTATTGACCATAAATGCGACATAAATAAACAATAAATAACAGAATAAACAAAAAGTAAGAATAATATTGATCAAGTAAGGAAGTTCTAACCGGGTGTAACCGAACATTTTATACTCTCGCAACTCTCGAAAGTTTCATTTATTTATTTTATTATACTTGTATGAATTTCAATTATATACAAGTATCTTACACATTGACCGATATTTTCGGTAAAATGTCAACTATAGGTACTGGGGTCCATGTCTCTGGCGTGTTTATTGCTTGATTTATCGCGCTTTAAGTAGTTTTTAACAGTTTATGTTTATGTACTATATTACCCCGCCCACTCCCCATATAACGGTACTGTCAAAAACTACTAAACCGCGATAAATCAAGCACTAAACAAGCCAGAGACATTACATTTTATCTCTGAGATGGTATAAAATGATTTTATAGGAACCACGTTCAAAATTAGATAGTGGGCGTGGCACCGGCCACTTATGGGTAAAAACCCATATCTTGGAATCTGCTTAACCGATTTCAACCAAATTCGCTACATAATATTCTTCTTATATAATATTTCTATATTATAGAACGAAAATGGGCGAAATCGGATTACAACCACGCCTATTTCCCATATAACAGCATTTTAAATTCCATCTGATTTTTTCACTTTCCAGTATGCAAATCAAACACCAACACCAAAACTGTTCAAGCCCCTAGATACTGAATATGTAGACCCCAGTGCCTTTAGTTGACTTTTTACCGAAAATATCGGTCAAAATAGAACAAGGCGGCAAGATCCACAAAGAAATCTAAAACGAGTATACCATTTTACTTTTCGAGAGTATAAAATGTTCGGTTACATCGGAACTTAGCCCTTCCTTACTTGTTTTAAACAAATTTTATCACGTTTCAAATGCTTTTATGCTTTCGTGCAGAGAAACATTTAAACATTTAATGCAGTGAAATCCGCCGAAAGTTTTTGAAATATAAACAATTTATATTTCTTGGAATATAGCATGCCAACATGGAACTGATAAGAAAGTATAAACAAGGAAACCTCACCACAGCCGACGTGCGCACTTTAAATAGTATGTATTATGTATGTATGAGTTAAAAATATAAAAGTTGCCTTTAATAATATACAGTATATCCAAGTTTAACGAAATCGGCTTTATTGAGTCTTTGTATCACCCCATAATATCTGTGGGGCAGTGTGGATGGTGGACAGTTCAAAAGGATTCTCCTTTTAGGAAAGCGGGAATTATGAATTATAATAGTGGTCATCACATTGAACTTACCCCTGAAATCTCACCTTCAGAAACTTCGTAAAGTAAAATCGACAGAATGGAGTACTTTCATAGAAGATAATAAACTCTAGAAAATTACTTCTGCGAAAGCTCTTTTATTGAGACAGGGTATATTCTAGGGTTATCAATGTTCAATTTTAAAAGGAATAACAGTTAGCGTGAAAATATATGTTTCTAAAATCCATTAGGCCAGTTGCTTAGAAATATATGCTCATGCCTAAGATACTGAATACTCAATATTTCAGGTCAATATTTTAAGTGCAACTATGCGAGATAATAGTGTATACTTATACACATATACAAGTAGGTATAAAAATATTCGATTTTTTTGCACAGATTATAAAGGTGTGTTTGGAATAATTAAACCATTTGTATGTATGTTGGAGTATATGATACTGAAAATAAATATTTATGCCAATATAAAAATTAAACATTTGTTTATATTCAAACAAACTCATTTTTCACATGGTCTTGTTACTTACGTTTGAATCTTTAATTCCATAGCAACAGCAGGTAATTGCAATCTACAGATTTCCCAATTACCTTAGAGCTGGTGTAAAACGGATGAATAGTGACTCAGATAAATTGATAGATTGAGCTGTAATTCTTATTGTAACATGGAGGTATATTTTGTTATGTAATTTGTTAAGAACGTATTCTTAAGTTCCCCATATATAGGATAAGTGTCAGGTGGAAAGGCACAGTTGAAAGAATTTATCGACATTCAGTATCACCTTCGAATGAGATAAATCTGCGATGGGTAAAAGTTGCTTAAAATTATACAGGATTATATACTGATATAAGCACACATGTTTACTAACTGGATCAAAAATACCTTGAAATTACTTCACTTATACTGTATAATAATGAGACTTGAAATGTCACCACCCGTGATTTGCAACGACTGCAATCCTTCACCAATCGTTGTGTTCGCAGAATACTACTTTACTTTAGTGGTCAATAGGAAAAAGTTGGGACGAACTATAGCATATAGCATGTGAAAGGATTGATTGAATTTATTTCATTGAGGTTTTATGCACCTTTCTGGAGTAACACTAACAAATATATGTAATATATGACCACACTTAATTGTCTATCTTTTGCTTAGTACTCCAATATATATTTTAAAAATGATCTAACTCTCAGAAATCAATAGATCCATGATATTAATGCTCGTCATCAGTCTGATTTACTGAAATTCAAGAAATTTCTTGTGATGGGATAAGCTATGGCTCGATATTACTAAAACTTGGAACGGAATCACCATATGAAAATTGAAATTGTATCTCTTTATTTTATTGATGAAATCCAACATGTTGAGTGTCTAAATCGATTTCATCCAGTTTTGATTGAAACCACTTGTGCTAAAATTTTTGAAGTATTTATCTGTTTGGCTAATCGACACATCGACATAAATTAAATCATATAAACGGAAATCTCTATATTGGTTATATGGAGGTTATAGATAGTTATGACGATTTTAAATATTTTTTTTAATCAGAGTTGCCAAATTTTGCAAATAGTAGAGTGTAGGGTAATTATACTTAAAATAAATTTCAATGATAAGTCCTAAGGGGACTTGAGGAGAATAATCTATACCAAATTTTCTTCAAATTGTTCAAGTAGCTTTCATTAAGTCCCACGTTAAGTGTGCTAAAACTGAATTATAGCACTTTGTGTTTTTTATGATTACCCAAACCAACAAGAAGTATTCCTAATTAACTTGTTCCCTAGAATGGCACCAGCTGTTGAAGTTTCAAATACTGTGAGGCCTATTACATCTGATTCCTTATAGTTCGGTCATGGCTTTACTGCTTTCCTTGTGCTTTAGATTAACAAAAAGTTTGTGGGCATGTCTTTATTCCATTTTGATTCGATTCGATTGGAACAATTTAATACACATAGATATGCATATAACTTGGTATGTATCTCTCTTTGGTGGGTACTATCAAGGTGAATATCACAATGAGAGTAAAAACTCAGCCAAGCACCTAGGGGCTAGATGTAAGCTCAAAACATTTGCATACATATGCATATAATTATATATTCGTATCCATATTTGACTGTAATTGTTTTATTTCTTTAAGAGGTTGAGACGACACTTCATTCAAATATCTTTACACTACTTCCAATTAAAAATCAGTCGTGCCGCTTCGTATTGAAAATAAAGTGAAAACTACACATTTTATGCAAATTAATTGGAATTTGTATGTAGATATGTTTGTGTATGTATCATACTACGCTCGATGTTGCCCAAATAAGAACGCAAATTTTTTAAGCACAAACATTTTAAAATTGAATTAATGAGTTTTCAAATGAGATGACATCACTGATTTGTTAATAATATATTATATATTTAATGTGCCATCGCATAGCTGCAACAACATATCTTATGGCGCATAATACGAGTACATACATATATATTTATATATTATATATGGTATGTATGTACCTACATGCTTTTATTAGGTTGTTATTTGGGTTTCTATAGATTCGTATTTTGAAGGCATCCAATTCCAATTGATCAGTATTGCAACAACTGTGTTTATACTTCTTTTTAATGCCCACAGTGTGCCTCGAACTATAGAAAGTAGTAAATTGTAGTTTTAGGTGAGGACGCGACGAGGCAAGACGAAGGACCGAGTCGCTCGTATAAAGGCAACACCCTTTGTGTTCTTGTTTGTAATACCAAATGAACTTTGTAATTTTTAATTATGTTTACTCGTAGTTCTATAAAAATTAGGCTAGTTACACATCAAAGCAAGAGTAATAAAAAGCTGACATCATTAAAACACACAATAAATGTGAAACTCTTTCAAGGTGTTGGCAAAAAGAAAGATCAATACGATTTAAACACATCATTCACGCAAAGTTTTACCCCGATACAAACATTGTTGCTTGATTTGCATAGTGGAAAGTGAAAGAATCAGAATTAAATTTTTTAGAGGAATTTAAAATGATGTTATATGGGAAATAGGCGTGGTTGTAATCCGATTTCGCTGATTTTCGCACCATAATATAGGAATATAAGGATAATGTTATACATAAATTTGGTTGAAATCGGTTAAGCAGATCCCAAGATATGGGTTTTCACCTAAAAGTGGGCGGTGCCACGCCCACTGCCTAATTTTAAACGCGGGTCCTATAAAGTCATCTCATACCATCCCAGAGATAAAACCTAATGTCTCTGGCGTGTTTATTGCTTGATTTATCGCGCTTTAAGTAATTTTTAAGTGGGCGGGGTTATCACCCGATTTTATCTATTTTTAAACTGTCAAAAGAGGTGCTAAAAAAATTTGTTGTCAGTAAATTTTGTTATTATAGCTTTAGCGGTTTAGGAGATATGTACATTAAACCTATTAGAAGGCGGGACCACGCCCACTTTTAAAAAAAATATTAAACTGCAAATGCTCCTCTCTAATGTGATACTGCATACCAAATAAAAGTCTTATATCTTATTGTAGAGCTTAGTTATAACAATTCATTTGTTTTTGATTAATGGCGTTTTGTGGGCGTGGCAGTGGTCTGATTATGCCCATCTGCAATACCAACCGTCTTACGCTACCAAGAAACATTTGTCCCAAGTTTCATAAAGATATCTCAATTTTAACCCAAGTTATAGCTTGCACAGACAGACGGACGAACGGACAGACAGACAGTCTCCCGGGTTTCAACTCGTCTCTTCATCCTGATCATTTATAAATATATAACTTTTTGTCTAACTCGATTAGTTTTAGGTGATACAAACAACAGTTAGGTGAACAAAACTATTATATTCTGTGGCAACATGTTTCAAGAGTATAAAAATGTTGGGAAAGAATTAAACATCCATTATTTGATGAAATCGTGAATAAATTAAAATCAAATTTTGTATCTTGACTTTTATTGAAGGCCATACACTGATACATAGTTTTATTGCTCTATATTAGTTCGCGTCAGCTAAAATTATTTTGAAAACACCTTCAAATGAGATATTTAGTTGATCTGAAAAACGTCAACCAGAGGATCGGAATTCATTATATTGGGGAGACTTAGACCAAGGTTAAGACCAATTCCATTATAATTTAGTGCTAAATCGTATAATTTTTAAGAAAACTTGTCCATTTAATTTCAGTAAAATATCACAAATTTTGACCACGCTGAACGGTTTACACACAAATGTTAAGACAGAAATCATTTTATGAGGTATATTGGGTAATTTCGACTTTGCTCAGATATTCTCTCCGAATTTAATTATAAATCTTACACATTGATATTTTCGGTAAAAAGTCAATTATAGGCCCTTGGATCCACATCATGGGTACCATGGGGCTTGAACAGTTTTGGTTCGATTTGCACAATTTTTAGCCATAAGGTGGTACACTCTAAAGGCCCTATTTGTGCAAAGTTTCATCTCATTATATTAATTCCAGCCACTCATAACCCTATATCTATCTTGATTAGTTTTAGGTGATAAAAATAACCGTTAAGTGAACAAAACTATAATATTATACTCTGTAGCAAGAGTATAACAAGTATGTTGAAAGTTTTCATATTTTTGAAATTTATTGGTGTACTATTGTTATTTAATCGAAACAAAATCATACTTATCCATTGTGTCATTAATACCTAATTAAAACATGAATGCGGTAATGGGAACATTTCGAATTTGTTATTCGAAAATTTGCCGTACTTTTCGGGTGATTTGAGATTTTTAATTTGTAGCTCTTTATTTAGTTTGAAAACTTTTTGTTTTGTAAGTGTTAGCGAATAGTATTTGTTTTTTTTCGTTCATAAACAACATAAGAGAATT